GATTTCGTGACGGGTGATTTTCAAGTTCAGTAGAGTATGTGCTTTGAAGAACTCAACTCACAAGGAATTTGTGATTTGAAGAACTCAATTTTCGACCTGAATTGGAATTTCAGCCCCAATCGTACTTTCGGCCCAAATCGGTCTTTTGCCTTGAATTGGATTTATAACCCGAAAGAGAGATTATGAAGTTCCATGGAGTGAATAGAGGAATTCAAAGTTATTTCTTCAAAATTATCCTTGCTGTTTTCTAAGCTGGGCTTTTAGTTTTAGGCCGGAAGCCCAATTATCTCTCCGTAGGAGCTAGTTAGAAAAACGGCACGAAGTGAGGCTTTTAAGCCAGTTTATAATAAACTGAGTCCTAGCATCACAACACTTGATCTTCAACGAATCATGTCAGTCATTGCAATTAAGTCACTTCTACTTCTCAACGTTTGTGCGTCCTTCCGTGTGATCAAACAATAATAAAGTCATATATTTACAAGAGTTGTTTCAAAAGAAAGATCGTCATTCCAAAGACACAGGTATTTACTAATGGAACCAGCATCAAAAGGTAGAAATATTTTGCCTATTAGGTCTTCGTTCTTCGGACAACATTTACATCTTTGGCTATACGAAGAAATGCTGAAAATGTCTTAACCCTACTACAAAGAACTTTTGTGTCTATATGTATGTGTGTTGTCTTCAGACTAAGCCACTTGTGAATTAATTTCCTAATTAAGCTCCATATTCGTTTGCTGCTCCGCGTGTGCAACAAAGATAGGTGTTGTTATGCATCAAAATTACCGGTCGGCTTTCTTATCCACAAATATTCTTTTCAATATCAAATGCATTATTCAAACAAGCCAATTGCTCGCTGTAATATTTAGCAGTAACCCGATATACATGTTTCAGAAACTCAGAATAAGGAATTCATTTTATTATCTGTAGATTTCATTTATCTTAAGTTACTGTAAGATATTTTGAAATTAAACACAATTTTATTATTTTGTTCGTTTTCGTTTCTCCTAAAAATATATTTTTATTGCCAGTGACTATTTTCTTTCCACCTGATTTTTTCTGTCTTGAGTAAGAAAAAAAAAACAAATATTTAAATGTCGATTGATAGTCATATTTTAGAGTTTTCTAAACAATTTAATCCAGTTGTCTGATTAAATATATACAGTGCAGATTACACAGAAATTACTATTTTTCGAGGATTACTTTCATAGATGATATTATTTATGACAAGTCTAACTAACGATGGGTAAAAAAAAAATTTCGGCTGCGTTAGTAGATATGGAAGAGTGATGTTCCCAGATGCTGACTTTCTTTTCGTTTCAGTCAACATGACATGACAATAAGATGATATTTTGTCAGCACACTTGACGATAGTAGTAGATTTACATGTTTCTCGAAGGCATTAGTGTGAATTGCATAGAAGCAGTCTGAAATTAGAATCTTCTGTGATGTAATCGTGCTGCCAACAACGTGGCCAAAACTCACTTTAATCTATCTATCTATCTATCTATCTATCTATCTATCTATCTATCTATCTATCTATCTATCTATGTCTTCGTATCTATCTATCTATCTATCTATCTATCTATCTATCTATCTATCTATCTATCTATCTATCTATGTCTTCGTATCTATCTATCTATCTATCTATCTATCTATCTATCTATCTATCTATCTATCTATCAATGTCTTCGTATCTATCTATCTATCTATCTATCTATCTATCTATCTATCTATCTCAATGTCATCATATCTATCTATCTATCTATCTATCTATCTATCTATCTATCTATCTATCTCAATGTCTTCGTATCTATCTATCTATCTATCTATCTATCTATCTATCTATCTATCTATCTCAATGTCTTCATATCTATCTATCTATCTATCTATCTATCTATCTATCTATCTATCTATCTATCTATAAACATTGAAGACGGCTCGAGGGAAGTCGGATAAATATAATGAAAGTTATATTTTTTTCTAGAAAAATAACAGGTTAATATAGTATAGAATTGTGTTGCATGCCTTCTCGTCGACATTGAAAAGAAAAGTTAGCGGATATTACACAATTTGTCTTTACTCATCAGCCCGGTGTGTCATGTTGCAAGAGACTGTGTTTAACCCACGTGTCAGGAAAGCATCTTCTTTGTCAGGTGTCTCTCCGAAAACTGGTCACTATGCAGACCAGGTTTCATTGATTACCGATTAAGAGTATTGTGACCAGCGAAGTCGGGGGTGGGGGGTGGAGGGGGACGGTTGGGTCGACACAAGTTTTTTTTTAACTAATGTGTAGCCCTCAAAAGCAATATTCACAATCAATTTCTTTACTAATGAATCAGTGATTAAACTCCTCAGAAAGAGGCAAACGTTTATATTTGTGCACAGCTTGCGTTGTGTACACGTCTCGTAATGAAAACGTTAAAAAATACCGAAGAAAACTATGTACACGATTGATATCTATCTATCTATCTATCTATCTATCTATCTATCTATCTATCTGTTATGGTCAGGTTCCTTGTACCATGGTGATAGTCCAAGGTTGAACCAATACAGAAGAACTCGAAAATGGATATGGAATAACACAGATATATTACAAACAGGAATATATACAGAGATGTAGAAAGTGTTAGTACGAACAATCAGGTTTAATAGTAATTGTCTGAACGCGTCTCTGTTTCGGACTGCCTCTGACTCGACTGACTGACTCGCTCGCTCTGACTGACTGATAGACTCTTGACGGGTTTCACTCCAGACTTCAGGCTGAACTCTAGACTTCAGACGGAACTCGCCGCTTCCTCTTGAGGCGCAGTATTTATTACGTATGGAATAGTCCATTATGTTATTATGGGTAAGATCCCATAATACTATCTATCTATCTATCTATCTATCTATCTATCTATCTATCTATCTATCTATCTATCTATCTATCTATCTGCTGTTAGGATCCATCAATAGTTGTGTGTCCGCTCGTTTCGGAAAGAAGCAACCAATTAAAAAAAATAGTCGGTTTTATTGTGAAACATCTTTGAGCAAAAACTTTTTAGACAGGAGATAATTCTCAAAACAGACACCGAGTGATAATATTTTTTGTTCTTTTTCATGAATTTAGAATAATTTTTTTTTTAGTGCGTCTTCTTTTAACTCAATAATTATGTTTGTAATTTAGTGGGCTTATAATTCAAATCTTGTTAGTATTGTGTGTTCTTGAATAATTTGTTCATTATAACCAAATGTTTTTCATTAAACATCTAATTAGCAAGTAACTCTGCCATATTAGACGGAGATATGAATGAAAAACAGAATTATGATGTTCATTGATTAAATCAAGTCTACTACAAAATAGCACAAAAATAAAGAAATAAAAAGGTTAGTCAACTGTTTGTAGAAGATCTTTCTAAAACATATTGATGTAATCCCCTTCCATCAAATCCAATGTTCTTGCCACTAATCGATTATACACTGTCTGTTAAAGTGTAGATATATTTACTGAATGAACTTGTTTACTATATCAACTTAAGGTTCGCGTGTTACAGAAGAGACAAACGAATCCGTAGTAGTAACAGAATTTATTACGATGACAGCATTTGATTACATTTGCTCAAAGGCAATGATCACAAGCTGCCAACGCCAAACATGATAATTTAAAATTGAATTCATTCTTTTTACGTAGTTTAAAGGAATTTAAAATATATCCAGTAATAACTTAGATATAAAAAGATAAATTTCCTTTCAGGTTTAATGTTTACTTTGTGATTCGAATCACATTACTTTTGACCTTTCATCGTATTCTATTGATTTGAATGTCACCTGTTTAATTTTCGGATGTAATGGTTTGAGGACGATAAGAGGAATGAGTTGCTTCCCTTGTTTTTTTTTTATTTTTTTTATTTCATTCGATTTCTAACGATGCTAGTTCCATTAATGAGGTATTTTTCAGTGCGTCCACGTTGGTACCGAATGGGGCACAAGGTCGAGGCTTAAAATGGGTTTAACGACAATACTGTGGAAAAATTGCTCTAGCCCACTAGGTACTTCTCCTTTTTGGGAAGCTTCAGACGTCGGGCAATAAACCCAGCATCCAGCCACAGCTACCTGGGGCTTGGGCTTAATAATTTTTATATTTCCCCGGCATGTACCAAGTAAGTATAAAAAAATCCGTTAATGAATGATTAACTTCAATAAGTATACTTTAATTTACTCAAACTATTGTCCTCGTCTTGATTATTATAGATGTTATTACAGACACAACGTTTCAACCAAATACCCTCTAAGAATCTTCAGGTATCATTATTTGGCATGGGATATCTTGTTAATTATTGCGTTATTTTTGCCACAGAACCAGTGTACAGTCCGACCTCTAATTCGGCACCTTTGTGACTAGGCCACAGTAACCACCCTTAAAAAATCTATGTAAAGATAATCTTGCCAACTCATTCCACATATATATTGTTGTGTTATCAAATTTAGAACAAAGCTTAAATCAGGAAATAGATAATGCTTCCAAATAAGGTTTTTATTGTTTTATGCAATACAAAGGATAAAAAATCCTAAAACAAAAAATAATATATACGTACTTACTGACCTAAATGGGTAAATTTGTACTTATATATAAGAAATAAGCAAGACCATATCACCAAAACATTCTGCTGTTGTGGAAAGTTGTAAACAACGTCTGGCGCTGCCCTTGCAACTGCTCATCTAACTAATGCCGTCTGATTTTTTTTTAAATGCCGAACCGTATGAATTGACAGATCACGGAATATCCGATTAAACAGGTTGGAATGAATATTGTTTCAATGTCTTATCCCGAGATCAAACTCACAACCGCTAGATGACAGCAACACTTGTGTATCAGAGGCATTTTTTTACGATTCATTATCCAATTACTTTATGTGGTGTCCAAAGCAACACATTACAATGATAAATACATATCTTCCTCGTTCATGTATCATTGAGTAACTCTGGCTAATCATTATACTGCATTGAATTGAAAAATATTACGGTCAGGTCACATTGAAACACCCACTCCCGTACGATCCCCGAAATTAAGCAACGTCGAGCCTGGTCAGTATCTAGATGGATGACTGTTTGCGAATACCAGGTGCTGTAAGCTTGGATCTGCGGGTGGTGCAATGAGTAATGACTCAGAATTTGCAATCAGAGACAATTGCATTTCGCTTCGTTATATTCATTTACACGCAAATACCCTTCACCCCCAGCAGAGGATAATGGGTTAATTAGTAAAACTTGTATCACTAAAGCATTATCGCCAAAAAATAATCTTACGATCTAAAAGTATTTTTTTGGCTTTAAATAACATGCAAAGTGTTGATAAGCCGTAGGAAACGAAAAAAGAGATATTTCCGGAACTAAATATTGAAATATAGATTTTTCGCCACTAGTGTCCAGAGATTGAGGTCAAAGAATTTTCTACAATAAATTCGACCTTGCGTCATACACTAAATATATCTAACACGAATATTCTACACTAATTTCTCAAGATAGTTTGCCGTTTTCTCTACGTTTTTGAATTCAAAATTGACTTATTACTAACCAAGGCTAGAGAAACAAAGTCAACCCTACTACTTTAGCCATAGCTGGTGAAATGGAACAAAAAAACGGATTCATAACTTTTCCGAGAGGATTGCTGTTAATTAAATACGAACTGCCTCAGGTGGAATTTGAACACGACTGTTCGATTCCAATTTCTTTTAGTTACTTGTTAAGACAACACATTTCCCCGAAGATGAATGATTAGTGTTTTGAAATTCCGGGACTGAGATGTCATGAGATTTTAGATGTTTGATATGGTATACATCGTTGATTATACTAGTTTTTAATGTAACAGTGAAGGCGTAGTGTGTTGCTCTCCTGATGGCAGGCGGTAAAGGTTCTCTGTGATGATGATACATTCGTCATTACAACTGGTTTCCCAAAACGGAAATGACTTATAATTCAACCTAATAAGAAACAGTCCATATCTGAAATGTGCCACCTTATTGCTGGTTCAATTAGAGACTGGAGATCAGTTCAGTTAAGTTATACACCGTTTTTGACAGAGAGAGAGAGTAACGCAGGAACTCTATGTTGGCTGCGGCAAACGCTGAGAAACACAGCAACATCTTTTCTTCTTGTATTTTTGCATTTGTAATATCGTGATTATATATTGATGAAAAAATGCAAATTAAAATGAACGTTAATTCTAATCTGAATAATAGGCATGTCTGGCTCGAACAACTGATCAGAAAAGTTATCTTGTGGTTTTGCAGGGTGATTAAGTTTTATAGCGATTAACTTCCCGTGAGCAGCCGCCTAAAAAGCAAAGAAATGAAAGAAAAGAAATTCTGATTATGAGAAGTTGCCGCTACATAAAAATGAAAATTAGGATGTGCGGATGGTGTAATAGGAATGAGAAATCGAAGAGCTGAGTTCAAATTCCAGTGGAGTGCATTACTTTCATTACGCGAAAGTGAAAAGTATGTCCACCTATTCACCCCTCCAGCGATGGGTTAAATAGAAGATGATCAACTCTGAATTCAAAACCGTATTTACCCCTGTCGAATCACATACGATGCAGCTAACGAAAAGATACTATTCAGTTTCAGTGACTCCAACAAAGTCCTAATACATACATGCATACATACATACATACATGCATACATATTATGAAACGGACAAAGTCCGACAATTATTTTAAGACATTTTTATGTTTATACATTCTTTTTATAGGTACAAATATTTAAGTAAATGCTCTGTTTATAATAAACAGTATTAAACAACATTTACCGGTCTGAATGTCCGAGAAATTTTCACAGTAAATACAGTTTCGAATCCTGTCGGAGAATGTATAAACATAAAATGTCTTAAAATAATTGTCGGACTTTGTCCGTTTCATAATGTGTGACGTCATTTGTTTACATTTGATACGCCATGAGCAGATATGAATGTAAGTGAGAGATTCAGAGAAGATTAAAGTTTAAATACAGTAAATTCGACCATGGTAACCGAACGCTCTCGAATCGGTTAAAAGGCACGTCAGGCTATATGACGGTTCCATATAGGATACAGGTTCGAATCCTGTCGGAGGACGAATATTTTCTATGAAAATTTCTCGGACATTCAGACCGGTAAATGTTGTTTAATACCGTTTATTATAAACAGAGCATTTACTTAAATATTTGTATCTATAAAAAGAATGCATTTTAAACATAAAATGTCTTAAAATACATACATACATGCATATATATATATATATATAGAGAGAGAGAGATAGATAGATAGATAATATTGGTGGTAAATATACATATACATATGCAATCATATATCGAATATATATGCATACATACATACATACATACATACATACGCATACATACATATTTGTATAAAAAATAATTCCAAGAGGATGGAATCCAGGTAGAACTCAATGTCCAGGACAGAGTAAGGATATAATAAAAAGCCTTAAACACTAATAGACAATGGAATATTAGTGTTAAAGCCTTTATTATATATATATATATATATATATATATATATATATATATATATATATATTAATTATAAAACTGTTTTTGGTCAGAGTTAAATTAGACCAGGAAGTAGTTAAAAAAAATTGCTCTATACACATATAAAGAAAATATAATATAAAATTTAACGTGCAAAGCTTTTAAATTAAAAAAAAAAACTTAGGAAATCATGCAATCACGCTATCTTGGTTTCAACCTTTCCGTATCATCAGGCGATATGGGCCAAATCTATGGTCTGTAGTCGTAGAGATTGTCTGACAGCAATGACCGTATTCTGCTTGCGTGGCATGGTGCACGGTCCTGTTGCCAGACATAGGGTATTACAGCAGCCACCCTCTTGATCCAGGGCAGCACTATCTATTCAAGGTAGTTGATGTAGGCCTCCATGTTAAGTCTGAGGTCTTCACAAACAAATTCGAGAGTTCTTTTTCTTATCAGAACGATCTGAGTGAGTTTTCCAAGTTGCTGTACCTTCGTAATCACCATTAGATTCGTCCAAATCTTACCAAATCCTCTGCACTGTCCCCAGATTGACACCTAAACATTCTGAAATGTTCATACCGGGGCTGTACAAGCAGTACAAAATGCAATTTCCAAAATTCTGGCGGAGAGAATTGCCTTATAGTGGTCTTTTTCTTATAGAGGGTGCCCAATTGACTCTACTATACTGTGCAACCGACAAAATAAAAAACAAACAACGCATGCGCGAAATTAAAATATAAAATTGCGACAACTTCCACATCACACCCTGTATATATATATATATATATATATATATATATATATATATATATATATATATATATATAATTATAGATAAATAGACTCGTTTCGAAAAAACCCTCGAATTTTTTATTTGCTAATAATCAAATCAATCTCGAGGAAAAAAAGTTTTTAAAAAGAAAAGAGTTACAAACATGAATTCTGTCGACAAAAAATCGCATTGTGATGCAGGTCTGAAGCCCAAAGAAAAAAACCCCGATACGAGTAAACAACTAACTAACAAAAGAGCTCAATACAACCGTAGAGCAGACCTAGATAACCTAGTGAGCCAGACAAACCTACCTTTTCACCTAAACGGATCGTCAGGAAAGGCTCTTAATTGCCTTACTTTCCCCTGACGATCCGTTTAGGTGAAACCTAGGTAGGTTTGTCTGGCTCACTAGGTGTATCTATATATAAATATATATATATAATAAAAAGGCTTAAACACTAATATTCCATGGTCATAATCTATTCCATTGGAATCGTAAATACGATCCAATTCATCAGACCTACAAATTCAAAAAGAAAACAGAAAAAACAACTCCGGAAATAAAAAATAAAATTTAGAGAGAGTGTAAGTATGAGAGTGTGGGACGAATGTTAGAGCTAAAGAGAGGGGTAACAGACGAGAGGTGGGGGATTAAAATTTAACAGACAGAAGTTTTAGAGAGGGGAGTCAAAGACGGTTTAAGTGAGAGAAATATGAATGTTGTCGGATGTCTAATACATTAAAAATGTAACCGGAAAGGATACATTTTGTGGTGACATACACACACAATAGACGATATAATCTTAAAGATCAGAAGAAGAGGGGGGGAGAGGAAAAGAAAAGAAAAAGGGGTGGGGGAGAGATATTATCCAAGACCGGTTAGGCACACAAATTTACTATGAGTATTAGATTCACGCGCAAAGCAATGCTCAGCCGATTCAGAGAACAAAAATCTTACTCGAAATAAATACCTACTTTATTGTAAAAATGTGGAAGAAATATGTGAAGCGAATTACCTACATGGTGAAAAAGAAAATGAACAAATAAGAAGACATAAAAAGACCGAACTAGTCAGGTCGACCGCATTTTATAAAGAAGGAAGAGAAAACCTTAACCAATAAAGACTGTTATGTGCAGCCTGACGCAGTCGGTTGTCTGTATGTCTGTCTCTCCCTTCCGCTCTCTCTCTTTCTCTCTCTCTCTCTCTCTCTCTCTCTCTCTCTCTATATATATATATATATATATATATAATATATTTATATATATATAGAGAGAGAGAGAAAGAAAGATATTGGAGGGAGAAGTCTGTTTATGGGACTCTGAAGTGGGGATGCTAAAAGTTACATCAATCAGCTGACAAAACTTTTACTTGTATTAATTATCTATCTATCTATCTATCTATCTATCTATCTATCTATCTATCTATCTATATGTGTGTGTGTGTGCGTGTGTGCGTGTGTGTAGAATATAAAAGTATTACCTCAGCTACTCAAGTTTCATCCTGGAAAGAGCAGACAGCGTCAGTATATTTTTTATTTTATATTGCGACCGCGGCTTACGTATTTACATACAATGGAAACCATTTTTTTTTCTCTCAACCAATCCAGATATAGGCTTCATCCTGGTGACATATTAGCCAGTGGGTATTATTGGCGTGTACACATCCAGAAAGTAATTTTGATCTGTTATTTATGAGTTGATAGGGTCTATTTTGAAAATGACAGAGCGTGAAATAGGCTGTTAATGGGTAAATATTAAAAATGTTATATATATCTATCTATCTATCTATCTATCTATCTATCTCTCTCTCTCTCTATATATATATATATAT